CCGCCTGGTTCCCCTCCCCCCCGGGATCCCCCTCCTGGTCCCCTTCCCATCCCCCTGAGGGGTCCCCTGCCTGGCTCCCTTCCCACTTCCCAGGGGTCGCCCTCCTAGTTCCCCTATCCCTCCTGGATCCCCCACCTGGCTCCCTTCCCACACTCCCTGAGGGGTCTGTCTCCTGGTCCCCTTCCCATGCCCCCAGGGCTTTGCTGCTTGGTTCTCCCCCCCGGGATCCCCCTCCTGGTCCCCTTCCCATCCCCCTGAGGGGTCCCCTGCCTGGCTCCCTTCCCACTTCCCAGGGGTCGCCCTCCTAGTTCCCCTATCCCTCCTGGATCCCCCACCTGGCTCCCTTCCCACACTCCCTGAGGGGTCTGTCTCCTGGTCCCCTTCCCATGCCCCCAGGGCTTTGCTGCTTGGTTCTCCTACCTCCTCCGGGGTCCCCTGCCTGGCCTTTCCACAACTTCCCCCAAGGTGATCCCTGCTTGTCCCCTTCCAATCCTCTTTCAATGGGGGTGTCCTCCACCTGGCTCCCTTCTCACCCCCAAGATAGCCTCAGCCTGGCCCCCTTCCCACTCCCCATAAGGGGTTCCCCTCACCTGCCGCCCTTCCCACTCTCTTCTAAAGGGGCTGTCCCCTGCCTCGCTCCCCTTCTCTGGGGGTATCCTTCACCTGCCTTCCCTTCCCACCCTCCTCCCCATTCCCAAGCTCTGCTGGAGTTCCTTCTTTCCCTTTCCGAAGGATATGTCCTATGCCTGGCATCCTCCTTTCCATCTTCCCCCTCACTTCCAAAGGGGTATCCCTTTCCTGGCCCACACACACCTGCCTACTCCTAGGAAGCCATTCAAGCCCCTGCTGCCAATATTCCCCTCTCCTGGGAGAGGAAATGTGTGATGTAAATTGCAATATTGTTTGTTCTGATATCAAACTGATAATATAAAGGGCTAGCTAATGTGACTAATCACCTAAAAATGTGTGTAATAAAAAAAATCCATTCTCAGTAGGACATCATTGTTTTCTTGTCTTCAGCATATTTTCATGTCTGCATGTGTGTCCTTTACCTCTTAATTTGGGCATTTCCTTCTTGTGACCAATATTCCCTTCAATTTTTTCCATTCATGTGCAAAATGAATTTTTATGTGCATCGCGGCATGTTGAATGTAGACCATGAGTAGAAACTAAAATCCTAGCTGAGTGCTCTGCTAATCAGTTGGGAAGCAGTTGAATCTCTGCCCAAGGGTACAGTTTATAGGGAACACTGCTTATGACTAATTTAAAAGTGCCTTTCCTTTAATTTTATTAACAGCAAGAGCAATACATTAAAAGGCAGATACTGTATTGTTTTAATGCAGTGAAATGTACGGTCCAACATCTAGGAAAACAAGTGCAGCCCATACCATCATGCCTAAACTGAACATGAACTCCCAGTGTGATATTGTGGAGAAAGAGTTTTATAAATAAGGGAGTAGTGAGAAAGTGAAGATGGGCTGTGCCTATCTATTCCTAAAGTCCAAGATATGTTCCAAAAAACTTGGACTTATAGTGAAACAACTTAAAGTGGGGAATTTTTTTTCCATGGCTGACTTCCATTTGCTCAAATTGGGAGGGGAGTGTGCAATTTACAAGCAGGGAATGGGAGGACTTATAATGCATCAGTTCCTACAATTGTCAATGACTTTAGTGCAGAACAGATGTGTATTGGAATGATTTATAGCAGGGACAGCCTGTAATTTTTAATCTCTGTATACAGCATTACTGAGACTGTAGAGGGCAGAAAAGGCCTGCAGAAAATGCCTTACAGAGAGAAACTTAAAGAATTTAATGAAAAAGAAGATGAAGAGGAATAAGTTTCTTCACATGGAGAAAATAGTCACAGAGAGGTAGCCGTGTTAGTCTGATCTTGGTAAAACAAAAAAAGCAGTCATGTAGCACTTCAAAGGCTAACAAGATAGTTTATTAGGTGACGAGCTAACATGACTGCTTTTTTAGTTTTAGTGAGAAAATACTGATTAGTAAAGCAACAATGGTCCTGTATTACCTTACAGACTAACAAAAATATATAAAGAAGTGCACATGAAAGTTCATGATACTATTTATATATTTTGTTAGTCTCTAAGGGTAAAGCTACACAGCAGAGCTAAAGTCAAATTAAGCTACGTAACTTCATCTACATCAACTGCATAGCTTAAGTCAAAATAGCTTAATTCAGCTTTTGGCTCTGTCTACACAGCAGGAAGTCGTAGGAAGAACGCTCTTTCTATGACTTCCCTTAGTCCTCGTGAAATGAGGGTTACCATGAGTCGGAGTAAGAAGTCCTCTAGCTTGACATTATTTTGAAATAAAGGCTTGTAGTATTTTGGAATATCAGTTATTCTGAAATAATGCTGCTGTTTAGACATACTAAGATGCTACAGGACCATTCTTGTGTGTGTGTGTGTGTTTTTTAATTTACCGTGTTTTCCGGCGTATAAGGCGACTGGGCGTATAAGACGACCCCCTAATTTTCCAGGTAAAACATAGGTTTTGGCCTATACTCGCCATATAAGACTACCCCCCTATACAGAACGTCCCTGTGCTGATACTGTATGTACCGCACTGAGCCAATCCCGGCAAGCGGTGTCATCTATTAAAGCATACAAAGCCTGCTCGGATTGGCAAAGGTTGTAATAGCCCGCCTCCCCCTTCCCCCCCCAAACCCGTGTGGGGACGGGTCCTCGCGTTGACTGCACGGAGGCCCCACTCCCTAGCTTTGCTCTAGGCTTGCTTGCAAAGGGGGGTTTAGGTTGCGGTCTACGCCCATTTATCTGGGAGAGACCAACCTACCGCCCAACAAGCCGTCCGCTTCCCCGGTTGGGGGAGAGTCCCCGTAATCTGGGATGGGGAGGACCCGGCGCCCGTCAGGGGGGCTACTCACGGCCCCTCTGGGTCTGTTGGAAGTGTCGCTCCAAGGGCCAGCGTCTTGGGCCGCCTCGCCTCCGGGTCCAGTGCACGTCCGGGGGTCTGGAACTCTCTTCCCCTCGCGTCACCGTCCTCCGCCACCTCGTGACCTCTCGGGCCACCTCTGCCGCCTTGGCACCCCGGGTCGCCCTGCCGCGGTGCCTGCCTCTCATGCCAGCTCCGTGCTCCCCGCTTGCCCCCGCCGCCCCGGGG